TAGGTCTGACTTAATCCAGTCTCCTGGTAGTGTAGGTTCAATATTGGAATGAAATGAGATGCTTGTAAGTCATTCAACAGTTAACAAAAAGAACATTATTTAGCTACAGTTGGGGAATGCTATTCAACAATAATATGCATTGAATACTTGGAAAATTGACTTAGTTGATTGAAGTTTTCCTGCTTCTGAGTTGCCTATCATGGTCCAACAGCCAAGCTATTGGATCGCCAAGAGAAGCTAAAGCTGTTCTTGGTCGTTTTGTATTCTGGATGCCAGGAAGTGTCCCTTCAGACCCTCTATGTCTTCAAAAGGTATGGAGGGAGTTAAGTAAGAGAAATGGAGGTCCTGTGAGAGCACTGGTTCTTTTCTGTGGGTTTGAAAAGGAGAAAGAGAAGATAGGATAAAAAGAACACACCAGTATAAAAAGGAGGGGGGAGTGGTGTGTGAGAAGAGTACAGAAACTTGGAGGAAAAGGAGTGCGTAGGCATCGGATAACCTCTCATCTGAAATAGACAAAGGATTAAACACACGCACATATACATAAATCGTTTGATATAGAGGTATGTCAGACTTAACAGGGAAACAAGAGGGAGGATAGTACAGAAAATTAAATAATCACAAGCAAAACAGATTTCCTGATCCTGAAGAATCATAGAGGACAGTCAGCGTCATCAGATATGAATACTTTGAACCATTTTTACTAATTTCAAAAAGAGCCTTAAAGTAATAATACTTAAATGTAAGGGGCTGAATTGGTTCCCCAGCCCATCACACCACCATTCTCCCTCCACGAAATCCCAGACAAGGAGATGTTAATGTGTTTTGGTTGAAAACTGGTCGTTAAATAACTAAGGCGTTCTTATACAGCTAACCCTGGAATACAATTATGAGAGTTGAAGGTAGCAGCTTTGTGGGAAAAGATCATTATGCCTTATCTAACCATTCTGAAGAGCAATTTGGAACTATGCTCAAAGGGCTATAAAACTGTGCATACTCTTTGACCCAGCAATACCATTTCTAGGTCTGTATCCCAAAGAGATCATAAAAAAAGGGAAAAATACTCATCTGTACAAAAATATTTATAGAGGCTCTTTTTATATTGGCAAAGAACTGGAAATTGAGGGATGCCCATCTATTGGGAAATGGCTGAACAAGTTGTGGTATATGAATGTAATGGAATACTATTGTGCTATAAGAAATGATGAGCAGGCAGACTTCAGAAAAACCTGGAAAGACTTAACATGAACTGATACTGAGTGAAGTGAGCAGAACTAGGAGAACATTGTACACAGTAACAGCAATATTGTGTGATGACCAACTTTGATAGACTTAGCTCTTCTCAGAAGTACAATGATCTAAGACAATTCCAAAGACTCATGATGGAAAATGCTAACGACATCCAGAGAAAGAACTATGGAGTCTGAATGCAGATCAAAGCATACTAATTTTTTTTCTTTCTCCTGGTTTCTCCCTTCTGTTCTGATTCTTCTTTCACAACATGACTAATGTGGAAATATGTTTAATATGATTGTACATGTGTAGTCTATATCATATTGCATGTTATCTTGCGGAGGGTGGAGGGGGAGGGAGGGAGAAAAAATTTCAAACTCAAAATATAAAAGTGAATGTTGAAAACTTATCTTTACAAGTAATTTGAAAAAATAGAATACTGTTAAGTTGGAGGGGAATAAAATTTAAAAAGCAACTGTTCAAAAAAAAAGATCACTATGCCTATATTAGAGGGTAGTACTGGGGGTTTCGGGGTGGGGGTGGGAGAGAGGGAGATTTTATTTTCTCCTTACTCCCTACTCCCATTGGCCATCAGAGCTATTTGCCCCATAGGATAGGTTGAATGTATTAGGGAGTAGAAACCCACACCATGAAGACATAAAGAGGCAATGTTCAAGCAGTTTCAAGAAGGGAACTTTTGGCAGCAGATGTGAGCCAGCCATAGAATTGAGAGACCTAGCCCCTGAAATAGAGAGTCAGGTTGCAGAGAGGAGCAGACACTGGGACCCCTAGCTAAGCAAGTCATCTAGCAGAGACTCTGAGGAGGAGAAGCTTTGCAAGAGCTCGATGGGGAATAGAGGTTGAGGTCCCGTAGAACCCTCGTTGTCTTGGCCATATGGTCTCTGTGAGTTCTACACTATCAGCATACTACCCATTTGTTCCCCTCCTTCTCATGGATGTTTACTGTATTTGTGGGAGAGTTCAGTGCAGATTTTAGGAGCGATTGGTTTGTAGCTACTGTTTTCACTATGTCATCTCAGTAAACGCCTTTGCTTTCAGTTAATCATGTCTCTTGGCTGTTAAAGCAAAACACACTGTTGGAGGCTTGTTAGCTATAGTTTTAGGACCCTGGACCCTCGAATTGTGGAGATGATATTCATTCACTTCTCTGAGGATTCAACTACGAATGTGAGTGCAAATTGGGAGAGTAACCCAGAGGGGCTGCTACTTAAGCAAAATGGAGAATGACTAAGAGCTTATAAAATTCTGATTTTTCTCTTCAATGTATACACCAATCACTTTGAAATTTTATGTAAGTGCCGTATTTCCCATCTCTTCTTTCCTCTCATATGTCCTTGTTTCTGGCATAAACGTTCCTTTTAAAAAAGATATTTTAAATATATGGAGAAAATAAAGGACTTACTATGTTGAATTCCAAAGTCATAGCAGGCCACAAAGAGACATTAAGCACCTAGATGTGCCAGGCTCTGTGCTAAGTGCTGAGGATACAAATATGAAAAAGATAGACAATTTCTGCCCTCAATCAATCAATACACATTTATTAAGCACCTACTATGTGTTCTAAGCACCTGGCATATGAAGAGGCAAAAGACAGTCCCTGCCCTCAAGGAATTTACAATCTAATGGGAGGGGAGAGAAAACCTACAAAAGGAGGCTGAAAAGTTGGGGAGAGCAAAAGGTGGGGTGGTATGATGGAACAGTCTAGAACAGTTCAGCTGGGTGGGAAAATAAGGGTTCGCCTGGGGCCTCTCCTTAGGTGGAGGAGCTCTCCCCCCTCCAAATCAGAGGAAGGGACCCCAGGGGCATCAGGTACTGATGAGGTGTGAGTTGCAGGGCTGAAGTGATCTGACATGATTGATGGGTACCTAGGATATAATGGAGAAATCCAGAGGAATATAGCCAGATGGGAAACTTTTAAACATTATTAAGCACTAGTTGAGTTATGTCCCTTCCAGCCTTGAGAAGCTTATGGCCAGCATCTCGCCTTTGCTCTTGCTCTTCCATAAGAGGCAGTGATGAGAAGGTAGAAGAAACACTGGATTTGGTGTTAGAGGGCCTAGGTTTGAGACTCTGCTTATTGCCTGTGGCACCTTGAATCAGAAGCCCCTCTCCCACTGTAGAATCAGTTCCTTCTGACTCTAAGATCTCAATTTGCTTCACTCTATTCCAAGATCAGAGGGTGCATCCTCTAACGTCAATCAGCCATATTCTAAATGTCTGCCACTCATCATAAGACTAGGGTAGGAAGAGAGTTTAGATAGATCAACACAAATCCACTACTGGAAAAAAGAGCAAGTGAAGATTGCATGTTGAACATTTTAAATAATTAATAATACAAATATCAGACTCATTCATTTAATAAGGACTTATGAAGTGTTCACTACAGGCAGGCACTCAGGAAGGCACTAGGGATGCAGACCATCACCTACACCAGGGTTGGGGAACCTGTGGCCTTCTAGGTCCTCAAGCGTGGCCATTTAACTGCATTCAAACTTCACAGAACAAATCTCCTTAACAAAAAGGCACAAAAAGTTTAGATGCAGTCAAACGGCTAGGTTTGAGACCTAGAAGGCTACATGTGGCCTTGAGGCTGCAGGTTCCCTATCCCTAACCTACATCTATGCATTGTTGCCAAATTTCCAAGCCATTCTCAGACAAGGTGATTAATGGGTGTCTCCCAAGGAAGAAGAAAAATAGTCCATGCTTTACTGAGATAAATCATATCCTTATTCTACATGGCAAGAAAGAAAAACTAACAGCGATCACATTCAGGTCATGGAATACTAGAATAGAGTGGCAGAGGTAATGGTCCAGGAAAGCTATGGTAGAATAAACATTTTTTGTTTTTCAATTATAGTAGCTCTGCTCTATAACCCAGCCTTCAGACAAACAGACCCCGAAAGAAAGAGGGTATAATGCAATCCTTTCTATTATTTCACTTTAAGTAGTCTTTCTGCATCCACTGGCTGATCTGCCATTATAAAGCCCTTAGGATGAAAAAAAAAAAGCAATTTTGAATTTGAGGGTGTCAGTACAGTTCCCATTCCCCAATTTGTGTCTTGAGCCTGACAATTGTTTTTTTTTTCTGCCTAAAGCAATGGAAATTTTCTATGGATACGTAGCAATGTACCCCAGTAAGTTTGTTCAAACTAGCTTGTACAATTTCTTGGTAATAGCTACGTGTTGGAAAAGGAAATAAAATTATTCTCAACTACCCTATGCTTTCTTCAAAAGGTAGTTTCTCCTTGAACCTTTGCTCTACAGATATACTATCTGCTAAATTTCATTAGCATAGCTCAAAGGAAATTTTTATTAAACAGTATGTTGTGAATGCCTATGAAGATTGTAAAGTCTTATAAAGTGAACCCTAACACTAGAGTTGAGGTGAGAGAGTTATTTATTTCATTTTCAGTTTGTATTTCCTTCCTTTGCAATGTACCATTTAATGGATAATGCAAGCTTTGTGAAAAAAAAAGTTATCATTTGAAGAAAAGCTTTTTCAAATTGTGAAGAAACCTACTCTATAACTGTTTAATATTTTGTATCTCCCAAGTCAGTGAGTAGTGGGAACTAGTCCAACATCTGATGTCATGTTCTAATATACATATTTATATTGTAATTAGGGATGTGTAAATATACCTGTGGTTTGTAAATAGAGCCCTTTAAGTGGCAAGAGGAACAAACAGGGTGTCAGAGGGCTGGATCAGTGGCATTTCATCACTACAAGAAAAACACTCAAATCACAAGAAGACATTTTCACGTGAGGCACTTTATTAAACATAAAACAAAAAAATAGCATGTTTGCCCCAAAGAGGAAACTCTAAATTAGGTCACAACACTAAAAAAACATTCAATTCAGTTTTATTATATATTCTCCATTCCTTCAAGGACTTGAGATGGATGGGGCTATAAGGGAAGGAAATCCACGGATTCTGAACAAAAAGAGTCAAAGCTTGAGTTGTAAATTATAAGGCAAAAATATATAAACACATTCATTCCTTGAATGTCCACTTGAGTACCACCTTTGTGCAAAAGTTGCTCAAAGTTGTACAATAGGACTTTATGTACATCGTCATTTGATCTTCATAATAACCCTAAAGGGCAAGTTTTCTATTTTGTTGTTTTAGTGCAAATATTATTATCCCATTTTAAAAACCCTTAAAGTTGCTTGCCAAAGGTAACACAGGTAATAAGTAGAACTGGAAGTAAAAGCCAAGTTTAATACTTTATACTTAGCTGCCTTTATTGTCCTTGGCCTCAAGGAGTTTGGTATCTAGTAGGGGAGATAAATGACTTTAAAACTTGTAAGTGTGTGTGTGTATGTGTAGTCATCCAAATGGATAATACAATGTAAGTGATATAGAAGCTTAGGGGAGGAAATAATAATTTCCTTGGGGTATGGGGGAGGAGATCTGCAAAGTAAGAGATAGCAAAAGTAGAGAAGGAAAGGTAGAATTTTCAAAAGGCAAAGATAAGAGGGCTATAATGTCAAGATCTGAGGAGATAATGTACGTAAAAGACTTTGTAAACTGCAAGTACTAGATAAATGCCTGCTATTCTGTAAGCAAAGGCAGGAAAGCCAGATAACATTTTAGGAAATAAAAAGTGGTCCTAAATGGCTAGAAGACAATAGTGAGTGACGAAACCTAAAACATGAAGTCAGGACCAGATCTTTGAATTACAGACTAGTATGTTTATATTCTATTCTGAAGACTATGGAGAACTATTGAAGGCTTTGATGGGGGAAGGATGATCTGATCAATGGGAGTCTAAATTAAGATGTTGGCAGTTGGAAGAAAAGGAAGGCTGTGATGAAGAAACGTTGGCTACTGATTGGAGGTGGAGACTGAGAGAGGAAAAAGAGTCAGAGATGACTCCACAGTCTCCAAACATGATGACATTAATGATAGTGCCATGAACAGGAAGAGGGAAATCCAGGAGGAAGTATAAGGAGGGGTTGTCTTTAGGAATTTGAAATTTGAAGGGCTATCATATGGAAGCAGGATTGGATTGTTCTCCTTGGCCAAGAAGGAAGGCAAAAGAAGGCAAGTGGAAAGAGGTTGATTTCAATTCCATGCAAGGAAAGACTTCCTAACAATTAAGACTTCTCCAAGAGCGAAGTCAGCTGCCTCAGGAAGAAGAGGGTCACACCTCGCTGGAAGGTCTCCAGGTTAAAGTTTGACGATCATTGTTCACTGCTAGGATGTTGAAAAAGGAATTCTTACATATATATGTAACATATATATATATATATATATATATATATATATATATATACACACACACATATATATGAGTTATAACAACACAACTGAAGATAACAGTAAAAGCTATAAAATGCTAGTCAAAGGCACAATCCAAGCTAACAATAATCATGAAAAACAATGCTGAAATCACTAATAATTACATAAATGTAAAATGAAATAATCCTGAAGTTCCACCTAACAACTATCAGACTAGCAATATAGATATACACACAAAGAAAAATGACAAATATTAGAGGATAAGTGCACTCCTGACAGAGCTATGAATTGGTCCCTCCATTTTGGAAAGCAATTTCCAATTATGCTTCAAAATGTATTAAACTATGCCTCACTCTTTGATCCAGAAATTCCACTATTAGGCATATGCCCCAAAGGATATTTTTTTAAAAATAAGTTTAATAAAAAGACCCATAAAGACAAAAATGTTTATAGGACCTCTTACTGTAATGACAAATAAATAGAAATTAAGGGGGTATCCATAAAGTGGTGAATGGCTGAACAAATTATGATACATTAATATAATGGTAAAATTGTACCATGAGAATCATGAAAGTAATGGTTTCAGGGAATACTAGAGACACTTGTACAAGCTCATACAGAGTGAGGTGAGCAAAACCCAGAGCACAATTTATACAATAACAACAACATGGTAAAGACAAACAACTCTGAAAAACTTAAGAAATTTGATCAGCATAGTGACTAACCACAATTTCAGAAGATGGTGGAGGAAGCATGCTACCCACCTCCTCAGAGAAGCGATGGATCTAAGGTGCAGAATGAGACAACTATTTTGGGACATGGCCAATGCAGAAATTTGTTTAGCTTGACTATGAATATTTTTCCCCCCTTATTAGTATTTTTTTTCAATTACATGCAAAGACAGTTTTCAACATTCAGTTTGATAACATTTTGAGTTCCAAATTTTTTTTCCTCCCTTCCTTCCCCCCTCCCCAAGATAGCAAGCAATCTGATATAGATTATGTGTACAACACATTAGACACGTTTCCACATTAGTCATACTGTAAAAGAAGAATCAGAACAAAATGGAAAAGACATGAGAAAGAAAAAATAAAAAGAGTAAAAATAGTACAATTTGATCTGCATTCAGACTCCATAGTTCTTTCCCTGGAGGTGGATAGCATTTTCTATTATGAGTCTTTTGGAATTGTCTTAGATCATTGCATTGCTAAGAAAAGCCAAGTCTATCAAAGTTGATTGTTGCACAATGTTATATGAATATTTATTATAAAGAAGAAGAGGTAGGAGGAAGAAAAGGATAGTTTAAGGCTCCTTTCCCTGCCCCAAAAGTGAGAACAGAAGGAAATCCAGAAGGAATAGCAAACAATCAGAACCACTTTGAAATTTATATTTTGAATTTATTACATGTTTAAAATGAAAAACCAGCTCCACATAATCAATTCACAATTTCACATACGATGCTCTCTTTCTGTTCCACGATGTATGTGGAAGTGCTCATTCCGTGTTTGTAAAGTTGAGAATTTAAAAAAAATCATCATGTATAACCCCTTCATTTTACAGGCCCAGAAGTGTTAATTGAGTTTTGTATGTGTCTTATCTCTTCTATTAGACTATAAAAACCCTGAATGGAATTGTCGTTTAGTTGATTAGTTGTGTCCCACTCTTTGCGATCCCATTTGGTTGTTTTCTTGGCAAAGATACTAGAGTGGTTTGCCATTTCCTTCTCCAGCTCATTTTGCAGATGAGGAAACTAAGGCAAACAAGGTTAAGTGACTTGCCCAGGGTCATACAGCTAGTAAGTGTCAAGTGTCTGAAGATCAATTTGAACTCAGGTCCTCCCGACTCTAGGGCCAATCTTAATTCATATTGTGCCTTGCATACTACAGGTATTCAATAAATGTTTGCTGAGCTACATGGAATTCAATAAACCTAGTCAGGCAGCTTCTGGTCAGAGGTGATAAAAATCATCGGTTATTGTGCATGATGACGAAAGAGTTTTAAGATCAGAGAAAAGCAACCAAACCTATTCACAGTATAGACATTTTCTGAAATGTCAAGAAAACAGTAAATTATTTTTAAAAAAGACTTAGACAAAGTAGGAATGAATATACAATGTACAAAAAACTCCTTTAATTTCTTCTTTACTTTTTTTTGTGATGGTAAGGTTTATATGCAAGTAAGACAGAGAGAGAAGCAATCCCAAAGAGGAATGTTTGCAGGAACCATAACAGTCGAGCCCAGCCATCTGTGATACCCTTTTTACTGCATGAAAAAAAAGGACAACATTAGAAACATGATCATTTTCATTTTGTATAAAGGGTTCTACATCCAACAGTTAGGATTCTTTTATAAACATAAAGATCCAAATGAAGGCAGCATTTATTCTGCAGAGATTTAATGATACCAATTAAACATATTTTCTTGGCCATTTTTTAGATTAAAAAAAAACATTCAGATGAAAGCCATTTTGAATTTTTTTTTGGCAACCCCATATTTTGCTTAGGATGTATTTTTAAAATCAATATAATGGGATATGTGATGATCTGGGCATAGTTTATCTACAAAATCTGCTAGTACCACTTGTACTTACTTGCTTGAATCATTTGATAATTTTAAGAGATTTTCATAACCAGATAATCTAGTCACACAAGGTATCTGTATTACAGATGCAACCATGAAGTTCTGAGTATATAGGAACAGTGTCTTGTTCTTTTTCCATATTTCAATCAAATTAAGAGATCTGACTCCAAAATTCTAACCTTTCAAATGGCTGAAAACATTTTTTCTTAGTACGTGGGCTAGCAAATTGTGGGAAGCAGGTGGCCTAAATCTAATTTGTGATGTGAGGTAATGATAGCTCACCAAGAAAGAATGAGAGAAAGAAAGAAACCAACAAAGAAAGAAAGAAAAGAAGGAAGGAAAGAATGAAAAAGAAGGGAGGAAAGAAGAGAAAGGAAGAAAGAAAGTAAGATGGGAGTGAGGGAAGGAGAGAGGAAGAAAAGAAATGAGTAAAAGAGAGAGGGAGGAAAGAGGAAAGAATCAAGGAGAGAAAAACAAACTGCTATTTAGTGACTTCAAGCTATGAATAGTTTGCAGCTGTACCAATGCTAATATAAAAAATTATTAGTAGATTGATTCCTAAACTAAATATCTTTTCCAAATTTTGTGCAAAATAGCTATTATTTTGAAAGGAACTTAGGCTTTCATTCTTTACCCACGGTCCTGAATGGTCAAGGATGGTATAAAAGAAAGAGCACTGGATTTGGAGTTGAGGGTCTGGGTTCAGATCCCTGTTCTGCTACTTGGTAAATGTATGACCATTAGCCAAGTCTCTTAATCCTTTTTTTGGCCTCAGTTTCCTCATTGGTAAAATGAGTGGGTTGGACTAGAAAACCTCTAAATTCTATCACCTTTTCATATGAACTCTAATCTCCCCTTAAAACACTGATCATTATCCTTCACATCAGAAGAATTAACTGCATCACCTAAGAATAGCTCACTTTAACTTGATTTATTTCCAATTTCAGTGAATTAAAGGAAAAACAGGAAGTTGGGATTAAAGAAAATTCTAACCACTTACCTGCACAGTATCAGAGCATATATGGCTTCTCCCACATGAATCAACCAGGCAAACCAATACCTAAAACAGAAAGCCAGTGCTGATTTTAGATGGACTTTTCCGATAAGTGAATTCTGTCACAGAAATGTGAAAGGAAAGATGCTAGCTAATTGGAAAATAGATGTTGGTCAAAGATTAAAATGCAGAAGACTAGTGATACAGGCCTTCCATCTTCAGTAAAATACTGCACAGTCAACATCTATTTTTTTCCAGATCTCACTTACATGTTACGAATGAGTACTAGATGGTTATCCACCAAGTACTGAGTAAAGAGCCCGAGAGGTCCAAGTTTCTGACAGGGGATGCTCTGAGGCCAGAAGGCTACCCACTGAAAAAGAAGCAGAAAAGGAACAGAATACACATTAGGCCACCTGATAGCCATGGAAACTTTCCCTTTTAAGAGACTGGCTGTAAAAGAAGACTCTACAAAGCAGGAACTGCCCCTTATCTGTATAAGTTCTACCAACATACATCAGATCACCACAGAAATTCTGAATAAAATCCATTAGGTCCCAGCTCATTTGTCCCAAATTCCAAAATTCCAGCAAAAGCGCAACACTATGTATGTGGTTTGAATTCTAGGTACCCATGAAACAGTGGGCCCTTGAAAATGATAAGCTAGACCAAACTAAATTTGATGATACTAAACAACCCTCCAGAAGTGTAGTTGTTAACCTGGGCAAATTTCTTTCTGAAAGAGATGATGACTTTCCTATTACAAACGGTACTGCTTCCATGAAGCCTTCTGGTGGTTTCTGCCTATACTGACTTTCTCTACCCTCAAATTTCCCAAGTATTTTGTTTTTCTATCTATCTCGTAAACTGTCAAGATAACTATGTACTTGTATGCTTCCACATATATGTCATGTAGACGATGAGATTCATGTCTTATCTGAATTGTACATGTCCCTCAGAACCTAGTACAGTGCTCTAAACATAACAGAAACTCAATGTTTGTTGAACTGAACATAAGTTATATTTTTCCATCTACTTTTCCCATGTATAAGTTTAACTGGAGTACTGAAAAAGTAAGTCCTCCCTCACTATTCTACCTTAACAAGTAAAATTCCATTCTATCAAATACTATAGTACAAAAATGAAGGCATAACAAAAAACATTTTTACATCCCAGTACTACTGCCTATTATAATGTCCAAAGTCCTCAGCATAGCATTCAAAGCCCCTATAATCTGACCCCACCTATCTTCCAGACTTTATAGCCTTTTCTCCTCTTAACAGTTAATGGCCCCACCTATTATACTTCATGTGTATTCACTTTTGATTGCTCCATCTCCCTTTCCTGCCAAATCCTACTCTCTCCAGATCCCATTCATCCTTTATGGCTCGGGTTAAGACTCCCTATCTCCTCCATGAGATTGCTGCTTCCAGACAAATTTTTTTCCCTACTCTGCCTCATATGTGGGGCTACTATATTAGGCTTGCTGAAAACAGTCTTCATTTTACTCCTGCCTCACCTGGTCTCTACCTGCCTCATGGACCTTCAAATGACCTTGTCCCATCCCCAACCTTCATGGACCTTGGAATAACCTTGTCCCAAACCACTTCCTTTCCAGTTCTGAAACCATAATCAAATCAATTCTGCCACTGCTCCCGGACAGGGCATATGTTTTGTCTTCCCCCCTCCCCCGTTAGCATGTGAGCTCTTTAAGGATAGTGAATTTCTTCACTTATGCTTTTGTATCCTCAGCATTTAGCTCAAGTATTTGGCACATAGAACTTCTTCTCCATCCTTCCTTTTGAAAGAAGACCAATGACATCATGGAGTGATGTCTTGACTTGCTGAGTGATTTGCATTTAAATGAGGCAGAGTTGCACAAAGTCGTCAGCCTCACATAGCAAGGACTGGGCAAGCAGGTAGCCTCCACAATAATGGTTCACTAAAATTTTAAGGCTGTCTCCTCTATTAAACTGTAAAATCTGTAAGGGCAGTTCCTTTTTCCTTTCAGTTCACTGCGTGGCACACAGTAGGCTCTTACTAAATGCTTGCTGCTTAACTGAATGCTGACAAATCCATTTCTCCACAACCACTCTGTTAAGCAGGTACTGCAAGTATTATGCCCATTTTACCTACAGCCAGTAAGCTATAGGTCGGATTGTTGAATTGAAAAATCAAATCAACAAGCATTCATGAAAGGGTCTTGTTCAGGATTATGCAGCCAGTGGGAGAGAAAGCTCTTCTCCCCCCACCCCAACTCTAGCCTTCTCACTCCGAGTCCACAGTGAGCGTTTACACGCGCTCCACCACCCCATCTTCATCCTGACTCCGGTAACTGAGGCAACACAGGGATGGGAAGGGGAGGAAGGCGAAAGGAGATGCCCGCATGCGCAAGAACCTCAAGAAATGCAAGAGGAGAGGAAAGCAGTGCGCCTGCGCCGCTCGGACGACTTTTAAAATTTCGCCAATCCTTACCGTGAAGTATCCCAGACCCATGGCGGTGATCACCATGCCCACCGGGCTGCCCCTCCGTAAGTGAACGCCAGCCAGCTGCGAACCTTTCTTTTCCTTCGCCTCCATCCTGAAAGCTTTGTCAGCGCGGGACACAGTTCCCACCCCCTACCTAAGGAAAAGTGGACTAACCCGTTCCTGGAGTGAAGGGCGCGTGCGCAGAGGCTCGGGCCCGGGGGCAGTATGTGTTGGGGTGGGGAGGGAGGCAGAATGCGCCTGCACTCCTCCCTGGCGGCGTTCCTTCCTCCCCGCAGCCCCACTCACCGTGTAGTAACCGAAGGCCACCGTGATCACTGCGAACCAGAAGAGGCTGCCTCTCTTGAAGAAGGCCGCACCGCTCCCCGCTGCCTCCATGGTCCTCAGGGTTTGCACTGCCCAGCGTGGACTGCAGGACCCGGGAAAAAAGGCGGACAGGGGGCGGGGCGGGGGCGGAGTTGGCGCCCTCTGAAAACCACGTGGAGGGGGTATTCTGGTGCGCGCAACTGTGTCTGCGGTCCACCCAGGCCCCCCACCCCTCCTCCAGTGCGTGCGGGTAATGAACCCACATGTATGAGCGTACGTGCATGCGTGTTGCATGCACGCACGCACGAGCGCGCGTGTGTGTGGATAGCCGAAGCACGGATTCTACCAGACTGAAAGCTATCAATACCATGTACTATGGGTTTAGGGCACGGTTGCGAATATTCATTTACATGCTCATTCAAAGATCACTGAATGGCTCACCAATCACACCTGCTAGTTTTCTTAATACCTTATGAATGTAATTCATTTGGGCTTGGTGACTGAATTACTCAAAGGATCATGCATTTAGATGTAGAAGAGACCTCTGAGGCCATCAAGCCAAACCTTTTGTTACAGAGGGGAAAACAGAGGCACAGAGAAATTAAGTGATTTGCTCAGGGTCAGAGAGCTAGTAGTAAGCATCTGATGTGGAATTGAAAACAAGGTCTTGCTCACCACAAGTCCAGGGCTCTACTTACGCCCAGTATCAAGCATGGGTGCTCTTATATTATGCCTTTACTTATCTTGTATTTCAACTCCTATCAGGTAATTTTGTATCGTTCTTTCAATTTTGAGTTATTCATGGGGAGATTATTTATCTAAATGTAAAAAGTCAGAAACAAAAATGTTGGATGATAATTAAAGATTCTATCTCATAATTATTCTTTTAATAATTGTGTATCTTTCTGAATGACTGCAATCAAGAAGTACTTGTTAAGATGCCTTCTATGGGCCAGAAATTGTGCTAAGCACTGAAAACACAAAGAAAGGCAAAAAAGTATTCCTATTCTAAAGAAGCTCACAGTCTAATGGGTTAAGACAACATGCAAACAGCTATGGACAAATGAGACATGTATACAGGCTAAATTGGAGAGAACAACAGAGGGAAAGCCCTAGCATTAAGGAGAATTGGTAAAATCTTGTTGCTTAAGATGAGATTTTAGCTGGACTTGAAGCCCAAAGACAGAAATTAAGAGGGAAAAAATTCTAGGCATGGAGGACAGCCAGTGAGAAAATGCACAGTCATGGACTGGAGTGTCTTTTTCCGGAAAGCCAGGAGTCTAGGGACACTGGATAGAAAAATACATGGAAGAGGGCAAAATGCAAAAAGACTGGAAAGGTAGAAGTGGGCCAGGGTATAAAGGACTTTAAAAACAAGACAGGATTTAATATTTAACTTGTAGGGATAGGGAGCCACAGAAGTTTATTGAGTAGGAGGATGACATGGATTACAGAAAGAAAGTTCAGATTCCTTTCTGTGATTGTGGAAAATTTTAAAGGGCTAAAAAATTAATGACTTTAAAATCAAGAGAAAAAGATACATATTTGGGGGGAAAAAACCTTTCCGTTAAATATATATGATTGAAGTCAGACATCCAAAGTTCATGGGGAATTGACAGAAATGTGTAAAATAACCGTTTAACAAAAGGATAAGAGGTCTGAGAACATGGACAAATAGTTTTCTTTCTCTTTCAAAAGATTTATTTTCTAAATCACCTACAGTTCTGAATATATTCTTCCCTTCCTTTCTCCTTACCCAGGGAGTCATTCTTTGTAACAGACTAAAAAAGAAAGATGCTGGAAAAGTAGTCTGGCAGAAATTAGACTAACATTTTGACCATATTCCATAATACTTGCTAAATGGATATATGACCTTAATATCAAAGATCATAGCCTTAAAAATTAGAAGTGAAATAAATCATATACCTTGTGGTCCAAATATGTATCTTTTTCTCTTGAGATACATAATTGTCTGAGGCTGAATTTAAATTTAGGTCTCCTTCACTCCAGAATCAGGGATCTATCCACTGCACCACCTAGCTGCCTCTGATGGACCACAGTAGGAAAAGACCTGGGGCAGGGATATCAACCAGAAGGCCATTTCAACACACTACATGTGGTGACAGAGGAGACAAGGGAGTGTAGAGTCAAAATGTTAGGAAGGTAAAAAAAGAGAGAAAGTCCAGGATAATACCTAGGTTACAAATGCGGCCCCCTCCCCCCCAATACATAACATTACAAAAGAAAACAATTATATTTAAATACTTATCAGAGTATTTTTAAAAAAATAATTTCAAGTACCTCACATTAAGAAATCCCGGATAAATGCTTATTTGATTGTTTGATTGGTATAAACTCTATCATTTCCAAGATACCAACTTGGTAGTCCTTATAGCTCCTCTAATATTGAAGACTTGGAATTTTATTCTGTGTGTTGGACCAAAGACTAAGTTAATGTGGCAAAGAGGACTCTACTGAGTTGGAAGAACCATATGGAAACCAGTAAATATAATACAAGGTAAATTGAGGTGGAAGAGAACAATTACAAATGCAGAGTTCAGGGAAAGCTTCATTGGGGGTAGGGTACCTGAGTTGAGAGATAGGTTAGGGAATAGTTAATTCAGTTTGGCTGCAATTTAGAGCTGGTGAAAGGGGAATATGAAACAAAGCTGTCTAATTAGGAGAAATACTGTAGAGGGAATTAAATACCACCCTCTTTCCAAAGGTTTACATTTTGTTCTAGAAGCAGTCGGGTAGCCCTGAAAGGTTTTGTGCAGAGGAGTGACCTGGTCAGATTTCTGAGGCAGCAAGATTATTTTGGAAGCTCTGTGAAAGACAGATTGGAAAAAGGAGAGAATGGAATTCGGGGGACTAACTAAGAGAATTAGGAGGCTATTGTCACGTTCTAGGAGAGATGATAAGAGCCCAAAGAAGAAGGGTGGTGATCATGAGTATAGAGAGAACACAGACCAAAGGGTTGAGGCAGAGATTAACAAGCTGCAGCTAGCTGCAATGAACAATAACGGGCTAATTTTGCACCCAAGGCAAGAATATAAAATTTCTCACACACATAATCATCCTAATGATATGACATGGTATTTTTCTATGTTCCTCATTGCTCACTACAAGTAAGTGACCTTTATTCTAGTTATGGGTCTGTCAACAACTGGTAACTAATTAGCTTTGAGGTCTGAAGGAGGGGTAAGAGCCAAGCATGACTCAGGTTGTAAATCTGATAGACCAAAGGGATGGCAAGGCACCCTTAACAGAAATAAGGACGTTTTGAGCAGCACTATATTCAAGAGTTAGTTCCATTTTGGACGTATCAAATTTCAGTTGTCCGTAAGATAGTCAAGAGGAGATATCCAGGTATGGTTGGAGATGTGGGACCGTGTCCACGTGTTTATGGCCAGATGTATGCTTGTCAGAGTCATTGATGTAGAGAAAATAATTGGGACTGGTGAATAAACTGGTGAGATTACTGAGAGGGTAAGCAAAGAAAGGAAGACCCCAAACCTTATTCTTAATAATGTTCATTTTAAAATAATTATATTGTTATCCAAAATAAAAGCAATGCAGCCTAAGAATAAGTGGTTAGAGTAGTCAAATCTTTTTTTTTTTAACTCCATGGAACAAGATACTCCCTATTGTTTCCCCTTCCTCTCTTCCCACTTTAGATTATAAGCTCCTTGAGGACAGAGTCTGTTTTTCTTTTTTATTAATTTTATCCTTAGGGCTTAGCATGGTGCCTAGCACACAACAGGCAATTATATTGGATTGGATTGGAGAAATTAATTTCCCAAAATCCAGAGAAGAGTGAGTACTCAGGAAGTAGAGGTGGAGTGCTTAATCCCTTGTGGAGAAAAAAATGTAAATTGTATTATGTCTGGTGTTGTTTGGTCAGTGCTGGTATTCAAACAGAGCAAAAGCAGCAATTTGGTGCCTCGTTTTCCTCATCTGTAAAATGAGGGGGTTGGATTTAATGGCCTCTAAGGTATTTTCAAGCTCTAAGTATGAATAGAACTAAGACATTGTGAGCTGGAACAAAGAAATCAACTACAATTGAATGAATTATTTAAAGTTAGTAAACAATTATTGGTGTGTTTTTCATTTCTACCATTTGGGTCTTTTTGTATAAGGAACTATGAATCTCTATTACAGCGTGTTTTTAAAATGTATGCTAAATTTAGCATGCGAGTACTAACACTACCTTGCATTTCCATATTAAAGTTGTTGTTCAGTTATTTCAGACTCTCTGTGACCCCATTTGAGGTTTTCTTGGCAAAGATGATGGAGAGGTTTGCCATTTTCCTCTCCAGCTCATTTTACAGATGAGAAAACTGAAGCAAACAGGGTGAAGTGACTTGCCCAGGATCACACAGCTAGAAAGTCTCTGAGGCCAGATTTGAACTCAGGAAGATGAGTATTCCTGCCTTCAGACCTAGCACTCTATCTACTGTACCACCTAGTTAAGATGGTTACTGTTAAAATCTGCAGAGAGATTAAACAGATGAAGACTAATAGAATGGTATTGGATTTAACAGTGAAGGGATCATTGGTAATCACGCAGGAATTAATTTTAGTTAACCAGTGAGGTCAGGAAACCAGAATGAAGGGGCTAAGAAGGGAGTGAGTCATGCTGAAATGGAGGCATCTAGCATAAATGCCTCTTCCTAGGAAGTTGGCAATGAAAAGAAGAGCTAGAGATGATAGCTTGAAGGGGATGGGCAAAGTCAGATGAAGATAATTTTTAGAATGGGGTAGGAACTGGGAAAGGAATCAACAAAGTGGTAGAAGTTGAAGAAAAGTGAGATTAGAAGAGGGAAGTGATTGATGAGGCAAACTCTTGAAAGGGAGAAGAGGTAATGGGATAAAAATTAGAGGGCTGGTCTTGGAAAGAAGGACTATGTCCTGCTCAGAAACTGGAGTAAAGAGAGAATGGGTGAATATGTAGGGAAATTTCAAGGAGTAAAATTGGGGAAGGAAAGCACTCACAACAAACTGCCTCAATTATTTGCTTTAAAGTGCAAAAGGACACCTGTTGACAAAGGGAGTGGGGGGGGGACTAGCTTGGGGGCAAAAAGAAAAGATCTGAAACTTGGGAATGAGATAAAGAATGAAAGGATTTCCGAGGAACCCTGAGTACTTGAGATTAGATAAAATGAATTTGTAACGGAACTGTACCTTGTCCGAAGGAGGGGGTGACTATGCTTTTTGGAATTCTAGAACAAAAGTTAGATGGTG